TCTTACTTAGCTGAAGTCCTATTTAATGCTGATGAGAGGGTTCATCTGGTTTCAGTTGTTTTCAGCTCTTGAGCTGAAGTTTGGAAGTTGCATGTGAGCTGCTGCTTTTCCTGGGGAATTCAAAATCTGCAGTTTGAAATAGAAAACGTTAGTTGGGTAAAGGGTTAAATTCAGGAAAGAGCTCAGCTGGAACAAGACCTGTCCATGGGGCTGTGCTCTGTCCATGGGGGGGGAGTGGTATTTGATTAAACAGCGGTGGGTGACACTGACCCGACCACGCGCACGGTCTCTTTCATTCCCAAGAGGCCTCCCGGCCGGTTGACATCCTCAGGCTGCAGGCCAGGGTGGGGCTCCGGGCGGGATGTCCAGGGCCGTCGCTCCCAAGAAACACCCTGGAGCCGATACCCCCCCTCCGAGAGAGGGTCCGCCTCTAACGCTGCCCCCCCCAACATCTGCCGAGGGGGCAGAACGGAGCGGACAGACACACCCCAGCACGTGCAGAGCGAAAGATCCCATCCCAACTCAGTCGAGTCCCGATAATCCAAGCGGAAAACCGGGGAGACAAATCGTAGGTGAACGGGAGTGCTGAAGAAGTATGAAATCTGTTTTATTACTCTACTGTAAATCAGAGCTTTCCCTGGGATGGGCACGCCCTTATCCCTGTGCTGCAAGATCTGTCCCTCAGTCCTCCAGCTGAGGCCCGCTCCGAGCCCCGCCTTTTCCACCTCATCGCTCATCCCTCTTCCCGGCCCCAGCTGTAACACCGGATTCCGACGCGCCTCGCTGCATGGACTCGCTTCGGTGCTCGTGTTCCGCGGGAAGAGCTGCTTTCCTCGTTCTTCGCACTCGTCCCGTTTCTCAAACCCGGAAAGGACGCATCCGAGCGCAGACGCACAAGCAGAGCTTCGTCAACGGTGTCTGACGCGCCGAGGGACAAAGCAGCATGGGATTGGGATAAATATTACGCCTGCGCACGCGCACAGCACATAGCAGAAAGGGGGGGGAGGTGTGGTGGCTCTGTGGCCCAGGAGCTGTGCCTGTGGCTGGGAGGTTGCCGGTTCGAATCCCGCAGCTGGCAGAGGAATCCTACTCCCATGGGCCCCTGAGCGAGGCCCTGAACCCCAGCTGCTCCAGGGGTGCTGTATAAATGGCCGACCCTGTGCTCTGATCCCCAACTTCTCTCCCTGTCTGTGTGTCTCCTGGAGAGCAAGCTGGGGTCTGAGAAAAGACACATTCCTGATGAAAGAGACTGTACAGGGACAGTAAAGTGATCTTTATAGGTAGAGAGCAGGTTGATCACCAGGGCAGATAAAACGGAAGGTCGGATAAGCGAGACTGTCCTGTACATCCTTTATTATTTTTGCTGAGTATCTGCCATCATTCGGAATAAACAAAAGGGTCGCTCGAGAGCGTGGTCCGATTGGGGCGGGGGGAGGGATGGCCGGGCCGGGCTTGGGACCGCTAGGACCTGACGATCTCCTTCAGCGCCGAGCCCAAGTCCGGGTACCCGAAGACGAAGCCCGACTCCAGCGTCCTCTTGGGCGCCACCCGCTGGCCCTGCAGCAGCACGGCGGCGCGCTCGGGGCCCAGGGCGGCGTTCAGGGCGAAGGCGGGCAGGCCCAGCAGGGCG